ACTTAATCATGGATCAGTATAGCACAGCTGCGATGCTATCAGAATTTTATCGTTCGACTAATATCTGGTATTTTTCTGCTAGAATTTAATGAAATCGATCGACGTAACGTGCCGGTTAAATACACGCGACGTTTGAATTTGTCGTGCTAGGGAATTTAATTAGCACCGGGACGAGAGCACTTTGATCAAAAATTTGCTGAACGAAAAATATTGTAAAGTGGACCGAGCAAATATTTGCGAGACCGATTGATTCTACCAGGTCGAACGCCAAAGTACGTTTTCAATTTGCGTGGGTGAAAACTCGGTGAACTGTTTCCAAAAAATGCATTACAACGTTTCGTTTTGTTTCGTTGTGTTAGAAATCTGGAAAAACACTCTCCCAAGAAAATAGTGATAAATTTTGTTGCGACTTCGTAACTTTTGAGGCGATACACTTTTTCACTAGGACGGGGAAGAAACGGGGTGTCTGTTACAGGGGATAACGTAGACGTGAATTATGCTTGTTCGCAGAGACACGGCGCGCGCGGTGCCGCTCAATACGCCGCCGCCGCCGCCGTTCGTCGTCGTTGCGCCAGGAGGGAGTGATCCATCATCGTTCATAATTCAATACGACAACATAATGTTCCGCTTATAGCGATATCAAACCATGAACCGTCTGTCCTTAATCCTTTCCAAAGAGACACACCTTAACCTTCTGACGCCGCTTCCCCGATAAATCCTGCCACGTGTTTCCTTTCATCATTTTTCAAAACGATATTACCTTCACTGATTCATTTACGAATAGCAGTGTGACATTTTTATCCGCGATACACGGATCAATTTCATTTAAAGCGACGTATTCTATTAATTTATCGTTTATTAACACTAGATTGCCCAAGGAAGTCATTTTGACTGGTTTTGGGCAAATGTACAAATAGNAAATAATATAAAAAATATTAAAAATTAATTTTAGACAAATTTCTTTACACATTATTCTTTCACAATGCAGTCATTTTTACTGCTTTTGGGTAATATAGGTATATACTAAGTTTCAGTCTTTCTAGTGTTAAACTCACAAGCACGCCATACATGATCCTCCTTTAACACCATATCGCGCATATATTTCCGTTCACACACACACATTCCATGTATGTCCAACCTAACAATCCTTCTGGACATACATGATCTTTCTAAACGACATTACTCAAGATATAATACTGCGTATTAAAGTTATAAAATATAATGTAGCATATAACATATATCCTTATTTTTCTAAGTTTGGTTTCTGTATTCCTCTTCTTATCTTTACTTCGCTAAGTGCTTTAGTTAACATATCCACCTCCATTTCTTCTGACGTGTACTAACTTTGTGTTTTTGTTTTTAACTTTGTCCTTAATAAAGTGGTACTTTCCGTTAATGTGTTTTGTTCTACTAGTAATTTTGTCCTTATTAATTCAATCGATAACTGCCTTGCTGTCTGTTTTTAGATCTATTGGCGGTCTTACAGTTTTTATTAAAATTATTGCATGAAAATCGGAGATTCCCTTATTAATGTTAGTTTAATTAAAAACCCAGGGAAAATACGTATTTCCACGAGAGTGGACGTCATTAATGAATGCACACCTGGATGAACAGATGATCGCTGGCAATGTTCCAAAAAACAGTTTGGAAATCACCTGACGGGGTTGGCCTGTCTTGTCACGTTGGTTTTTGCGTTTGAGCTTCGGTCCTCGTGACAGATTGCGACCGAACGAGTGACAGACGAGGCGCACCGGAATCTCTGTTATCTGAAGCCTCCGCTGTCCAAACATTCGTTATCTAAACGCCTCGGTTCTTTTTCATTTTCCGCCACGTTACAATTTCATCCTACTGATTCGAACCGTACCGAACGTATTTGCATTTTCCACTTCGTTTAGAATCTTGTAACTCGTTCACCGTCCCTCGATTCTATTTATTATGATAATCTACCTTGGAAACTCCGTTTAGGATGAATAATTAATGAACACGGTTTCGCGCATTCCTAAAACGTCCCCTCCCCCCGTCCACCAATTGGCTTTTAAACGTGCCGCGTTTTAACGAACGAGATGATCACAATCAATTTGCATCAGCGGCCGTGGAGGAACGATATGTAAATGCGGAAGGTTCGACTATCTCAATTAGCCCGGCTAATGGAATTTAATACTCGCGGGCGACGCATTATGGCGGATCGGTTCGACGGAATTCCGTTTTAATAGAAAACCCGGATCTTCGTCCGCGAGATATTAAACCGTCCTGATCACGACACCACCTACGGATTCTTCGCGTTCCGCGAAATCGTCGCAATAACGTCGGGTCCGTCGACGTTCGACGAACCATTTTATTTTTCATTTCGCTGTCCGTTGGACTGTGTTTGGTCGCCGCGGAAAAATGTCCTGTCTTATCGCGCGGAACGACGGACGAGGGAAAAGCGACGACGCGACCGTCTTTGGTCGTCACTGATGAATTATGAATGCCAGGAATATTGCCAGGCAGGTTTTCCACGACTATCAAGGGTGCTTTCAACGTTGCGAAGAGAGAAGACTTGGTCCCCGACGTGACACCGCGGTCAACGTTCAACGATGGTAGTTCAGGGACTCTTGATATAATTTGAACTCTTATCAGAACTGTCTCAGCTCCATCATTTTTTATCCCTGTCCTCACCTCGTCAACCTTGACATTCCTGTCCTTAAAAACCTTAATCTCCACGTTTTAAACCTGGGATCTCTACAGGGTGTTTGCGAAATACAAGGGGATGATTCCTCATATAAAATTTAATCGAAAATAAGGAATATAGTTTTTCATACGGGGCGTCATTTTCGAGAAAATCGAGTTTGAAAATT